TTTACTTAGTAAAAAGTTGAGAAATAATTAAATGTTTTTTTTGTAGTTTTGGTATAAGTGATCTACGGAAAGAGTTCCTCTTGAAGAATTTTTAAAATTGTTACTCATGAATAATGTTTATAAAAAAATAAAGAATTGCCTTAAAGAGACAGTAAAGTTTACAAGAAGAAAATTCAATGAAGCTTATATTAAGTTTACACACTTTATCAATATTACATATACTCCGAAGAGAAAAGATCTTGAAAATGACCTGATTTATGGTATTGCATATTCATGTAAACGAAATCAGCAGGAAGTAGATATTATAATACCTCTATATATGAACACTCTTAATGAAAAGTTTAACAAAGATCATATTTTATACATATTAATACAAATTGAAAATTATGCTACTAATAACAAAGGTTATGGATATTTAAAGTCTGCAACTACTTGTCTGTCACCAGCTTATATAGGCATTAAGGATCTACTGTATATGTCATTTTTGTCATTGTATTTGCAATTAGGTGCAAAATCAGAGTTAGTTGACGTTTCATCAAAGTTTACTGAAACACCTAATATGACTTCGTGCAAATGTAAAATTGCAGAAATATTAGAAGATTATAAAACAGATACTAAAGAAATAGGAAAAAAATTCGTTAGAAGATTAGACTTAAAAATAAAGAAGGTTCAAGTGCTTCAAGTGCCGAAATCAAAGCATTTTGCAAGCATTTTCAGACCTCACTTGGATTATTTGGACTATCTTTGAACATTTACAATTGCCTGGCACAGTCTATACCAGTTTCTACAACCTCATCATCAGCCAAAGTTAGTGATCTTGCAAATAGCTTAAACATTTATTGTCTGCTTTGGTTGATCTCATGATGGGAGAAAGTCAAGAAACTATGAAGATAGTTAAGCGTCTGACTCCAAAAGTATACAAGATGGAGGAGTAGTAAGATTATTAATTATAAAATTTAATGAATATGTGATAGCATGTACTGTATGTTGGTTTGATAAAAACTAAACAAGTGATATAGTTTATTATGTTATTTTTTAGAATGTCATTATTATCACTGTATAGTCAATTATTAATAAAGCTGGCCCTGGTGGTCAATTTCATATACAGAATCATGTTTACTTTTGTGTGTATATATTTTGTGAATTTATTTTATTGTATTGCTATCGATGTATAACTCGCATATGATTGAGAATTTTCTTGACAAAGTGTGCTTCTTTGAAATAAAAATATTCTTTGGTAAAAATGATTTTATTAAATAAGTTTTGAACAAATATATATCTTATAAAAATATTATCAAATATGAATTCTAAATTTGATTTGTTAAAAAACTGTATCATTGAGCTTGAGGTTGAAAATGTGAAGCTTAGCAGACCATAAAAAAAAATCTAATTTTGAGACCGAGAATTTCAAGCATAAATTTGAGAATGTTAAACTTAAAGGTAGAGTTCATGTAGATTATTTGTCATATTTAAATAGTAAGCAAAAATATGATATTAATAAAATTTTTTAAAAATGTACCAAAATTTTAAGATATATAAATTAAAATAGTTTATTTATTATAATAAAAAATTATAATATATATTATTTTAAAAAAAATTATACTTGTATTTATCATAAAAGTCTTGATAAAAATTCAAATTCTTGGTAGTAACATTCTGATTAGTTGATTATCATATAATTTCTATAATAGATTTATAATATCAAATTTTTAAATAAATTTATCTCAATGAATTTTAATCTGAATTTAATAATTCTACTATTATTAGAATCATAAAAGTCTACTTTATAACTTAAAAGTTTAAAAACAGTTAATTAAAGTTATATAACAAATAATCTATATATATTTTATTCTTAAAGTTAAAGTAATGAAATTAAAACATAATATCAAGAAAATCAAACTACAAATCTGAGTTAATATTAATAAAAAAGATACATCTTTTATTAAAAATATTTTGTAATTCTCAGCTTGTTTAGAATAACAGTAACTTATAAAACCCAAAGAAGCATTAAAAAAGCATCTTTCAATTTACTGCCTATTAAAGAATTAGAATAAAAACAATTACAAAAACTATTCTTCTGATATTATAAATATTAAGCCTAAATTATTAGAAGATAATAGAGAAAAAAATAATCAATTCTCAGCATTACTTCTTGTAAAATAAATTCTTATATATCTTTTAAAAATAAAGAGATCAATTTTTTGGAATAGGTATATAAAAAACAGATTAGAAATGAATAAGAAAGAAAAATTAAAAAAGAAGCTTCAATAAGAAACAACTATTCAGAATTTAACAAACAATAAAAAATCTGTTTTCTTTATAAAGAAAAACAATCAAGATTCAGATTTATTATTTAATATGAGAATTATTTCTTAAGAAAACATTCAATAGACAAAATGACTTCCCATATCAATACAAGGTTACAAAAATTTAACAATTACCATTTCTGCCCAGGTGTAAAGACTATGAATTGCTTTATCCAAAGGTGGAAAGACAAGATAAATTACATATGTCTGTCATTCCATCTAGTTCAAAAAGTACTCTGTCATATAAAAAGCTGCAAGGCAAAAGTAACAGTGGTAATTCTTATTTGGACTTTAGCTGAATAATAATCTCTGCTTCTGGAACTAAATTAGGAAACAATAATATTCCCAGAACTAAAGATTACATTTGTCCTGTGCCTATCAGGATTTGTAGAACTTTAAAGAAACCAAGAGTGAAAATTTTTGATGGTACATATTTATCTATAGAAAAGCTATTATGAAAAACAAGAAAATTAGCAAAGAACTTTGTCTTACCATTCTACAAAGTAAAATTAGAGAAATATTAGAACTTGTACAAAAAATTTTGTAGAAGTTTTGAGATAAACAAAGAAGAACCATCAGAGAATGGCATTTTGGCATTTATTATATAGTTGAACATATCAGATATAGTATTTCAGACTTTTCAGATTATATAGGTTATTGGAAGCAAGCTTCAGTTTGAAGAAAAGAAGGACTTTAGGAAGTTACTAGCTATCTCAAAGGTCCTGAGAGCAATAAAAAAGGAAGCAACAAAAAATAAAACACCAGACTGATCATGTGACCCATTACCTGTTGGAGCCTTAAAACACTATGTAGATGCATCTCCATTCCGGACAAATGACACTATGCACAATTGGGATGTGGTTTTGGTCGCTCTAGAACTAAGAACTATGCAAAAACCAGAGGAGCTAAGTGATTTGACATTGAGGGATATAAAGTAGAACAATGAAGGAATTTTGTAAGTCAGAATTTGTAAGTTAAAGATGGATCAGTTTAGAAATAGAAGATTTATTTTGATAGAAAACACATGTTTAAAATATTGTTCAATCAAACTATTAAACCAGTATTTAAAGATACATTTAGTAATGAGTAAAGATACTCACATATTCTTATCCAAACAGAAGAAGAAACTCTCAGTCTTGACTATAGGTTCAATAGTGAAGAGTTTTGCTGAATATGCAAGTCTAAAAGGAAAATTTAAGCCACTCACTAAGGATTGATGAGGTAATAGTGGCAATAATTGCAAGAATAAGTTTTACACAAATTAGAGCAATTGAAAATTGAGATTCAAAGGCTGTTATGCTATACCTGAGAACAGTATTTACAGCAAAAGCTGGAACCTTCAGTCAAATGGGTTTTTAGAAAAAAAAAAAACCTCTTGATAAAACAACAATAATAATAGAATAAATAAATAGTAATAATATGATAGCAGATAAAATGGAATAAAATAAAGGATGACCACCACCTGGAAGAGACTAGGGCTTCAAAAAAAAAAAAAAAAAAATGAGGAAATGTCATGAAAAATTAGTTAGGTAAAGCCTTTATTTGACAAATAAAAACAATATTGTCTTACTGCTTTTTTGTTTTGTTGTGCTCATGACACCTGTTCTTTACTTGTTCTTTTTAAACAATCCTTGTCAACAATCCCATACTGTATTGCAGAGTTAAACTGATGATTTGTTGGTCATGAAAGCTTGTTCGTTCGGATGGAGGGGACAGCTTCTATGATGAACAATAATAATGATCTGCTTGTGAACGAAGTCACAAAGCAGTACATATTGTGAGTTACTGGGCTTTTCACATGACAAGGGTCACTGGACATGCCCATGACAAGATATATTTTTGAGTAACCTGATAATCTGGTAGTTTTCCTGTTCTTGAATTCTCCTGCTCGACTTTGTGTCTAGCGATCCCTCCCCACCTCGCCCAAAAAAAAAAAAAAAAAAAAAACTTATAATACTTAGAGAAGTCTGCTCATGTGACCCACTGTGGCTTGTTCGGCCACTCACATTCCCATACTATATTGCAGAGTTAAACTGGTGATTTGTTGGCCATGGAAGCTTGTTTGTTCAGATGGAGGGGACAGCTTCTATGACGAACAATAATAATTCATAACCTCTTCACCTAATTCTTTTCGTAACATTTCTTAATCATCGCCTTGACCTGTGCCAAATCGTTCCGCCTCTAAGACATTGAGGAACGTTATGCGACATACTCCGTTCACTAGTGACAATTCATCACATTTCTTTAATATTTTTGTGTGTGTAATCCTACCGGTCTGCCAGTAACAATAGATATTAAGGTACATGCTGATCATTTGAGAGTATCAATTATTTTGTTCTAGCCAAATATATATGCTGAATTTTTGATATGAAATGAGTGCGCGCTATGCCGAATTTCTAGTGGTGAAGTGAGTACGCACTATTCCTAATATGAGTAATTCAAAAAACTCAGCCAAAATAATTATTAATAAATTGAATGTAATTCTAATTACGTTCTGGCGAGAATGTGTAAATTTTTGAATTGTTTGTTATTTATATACCAGGAATGGCAATTGTACAGACAAGTTAAATATGCATGTACAATTCTCATGATTGGGTAATCCAATATTTTAAAAGGTAGTACCAGGAACAAAATGCTTCTGTACGAAAAATCTAGGAATTGATTCAATATTTTTTTTAAAAAAAACATAAATGAGCGCATACATCTGTAAAATCGAAGATGCTAAAACAAACGATAATAAAAATAAGTTTTTTAGGCACAAAAATTAGTGTCCCAATATAAATTTAAAAGCCTCAATGCTAAATATTTGGTAATTTTCATTTTTTTTCATCGAATTTTTTATCGGGCAGATAAAATGATAATCACTGATTGTCAAAAACTTAATCGAAAGAATTTGTCAATCATTTCTAAATACAGATATGTTTCGTAGATCGGAACTGCTGAAATTCAAACCAATATTCAGATTGCAAGTGCTATTAATTTCTTTTAAAGAGACATTTTCTTATACCAGGAATAGATTGCAATGAAGATTATGGTTTCCCGTGACTGAAATGGTGCCTGTGTAGATTTTTCCCGTTCCTGGTTTCGCGCGACAACGTTGCGCAGCTACTTATTGATTATATCAATTAAACAATCATATTTTGCAAATGTCACGAAATGATCTGCAAAAATCAGCCAATTTCAATAAAAGCCCACTATGCTATGGGCTTAATTATTATGTTTTTTTATAACCTTTAGGACAAAATTGGACCAGTTTCGTTTTTACTTTCCTGGTCTGAATTATGGTATATATTAGTTTCTATTTATGTTTACTGAGAAAAATGGTTAAATGGTGAGGTTGTAGAGCAAGAAGAACCAGAAGATCCTGATAGGTTATTAACTCAGATCTAATTTATATTGAGAGCTAAAAACAAGGTTTATAATAATATTATGTATTTTTTAATTAAACAAGGTTCGAAGATATAAGGAGTTAAATATATAAAGATAGGGTTCGTAGTTTTTCCACAACCATATGTAAACCACTCTTTTTAAAAAACTTTTATCGAAAGTATCTCAACAACCATCTAACCAAATTTGGCGGATTTTTTTACTTGAATTCAACAGATCTGTAGAATTTAAATAAAAAAAATATATTGAATTTGTTGGATGGTTGTCAAAATACCTAAGTTTTAAAAAATTTTAAGCATCAATTAAAATCTTATCCGTGACAAAATTTTTTTTGGCTTTGATCAACAAAATTCAATGAATATTTTTATATAAATAAATTCTACAATCTTAAGAATTCAAATAAAAAAAAAAATTTAGGATTTGTTTGGGTAATATCTTAATCAAAGTAAAAAAAAAAAAGGTTTAAACTGAGGTGTGGAACATCATTCGTGGTGAGTTTTGTCATTTTCATAAGTTTCATCATTTGTCATTCGTCAATTTGAGGTCATCTGCCAGGCATCATTAAAAGAAACCCATGTAATATGTCCATTTCGATAATCTTGTGCTACATACTTGTATATTTGTGACACAAATTGTTATTGCATATCTATAACACTAATTTATATAAATATGGCACCATTATGAATACCAAAGGAAAATGAAAATTCGAGCTTCAACTTTATTTTTAAGCTTCAGCCCTTGAAAATCCTGACTGAAAATATATGTGATATGCAAATACATATCATACGAGATGCCAATCAGATTCTTCATGGGCTGAATCTAGCAAATAATAAATGGTAATATTGAAAACTTATACGTAGTTTCTTTTACCATTGACAGCATTCATATGGAAAGCGAGCAAGAATCTCACAGGCTCAAAACGTAAAACTTTATCTACTTAATTTATATAGAATATTTCTGATTTGGGCCTGTGTTTGCGATGAAGTCAAATATTAGTATGGATTGACTAGTATAGATAGATATAAATGTTAAACTAGCCAAATGTTTTTAAATTTCAAATTCCTTCGTAATTTCAATTCTCACATTATTTCTGATACCTGATATTAAATTAATTTATTTGAATATAATAATAACATTTGACATCATTGTCATTTATTAAATTGAAACTTTGTATATAAAACAACATAATGGTAAATGCACAGCAATATTTAGAAGAAAATTATCCTGTAGCAAGTCGTAATAATATTACTGAGTTGGATCTAAGTAATAAAAATCTAGAAGGAAGTATAAGATTTAACAACAGTGGATTTAATAATCTTCTTAAACTTAATATTTCTTTTAATATGATAACTCATATTCATTATACATTACCTTCTATTCAACAAGTTGATGTTTCTCATAATTTACTTAGTAAATCTCATTCGTATGCTACTTCCACCTTACGAAAGTTTAACTGCTCATTTAATAATATAGTTGGTTATACCCTTAAAGCTCCTAGTCTTACTCATTTTGATGGTAGTAATAATTTGTTAAGTACATTAGTTATTACAAGTCATTTTATTGAAGAATTAAATTGTTCAAATAATCCCATAACTTCAGTACCTTTTAATATTACTTCTACACTTACTTCCTTTGATTGTATGGGAGTTCAATTTAATAAAAAGTCTACTACTTTAAGTTCCTTACCATCCAGTGCCACATATATTCCAACCAATCCCACAATTCCTACTTCCAATGTAATTAGTTCTACATTTCCTAATTCTTTTGACAATCCTTATTTGGTGATAGGTCTTGGTATTTTTTCAATTTTAAATATTTTTGGATGGACAACTTTAGGTATAATCTTTTTATGTAAGCGCAAACGTGAAAAAGTGATTCTAACACCTGGTAGTTCATAATAATAATATTTTTTATATAAATTTCCTCAAATTTTAGTGTATAAGGATGTAATGATATAAAACAGCAATGATTTAAACTAGTCAAACATGATACTACATGTCATGATCTTGATTGGCAAATGCTTGAAATCAATCAAATGAGATTTATATAGTAAACATCTTTATTGTTGAATATTAATCACTTGAATTATTACTGTAATTTCACATAGTTTAAATCTTTTATTATTATCAATTATGATTGTATTTTTATAATAAATATAACAGATATATTTATTTAGAAGCCAATTTTAATTGAATACTAAGGTATGAAACACGAGTATATTGATATCTCAAAATTCTAATAATAAAACAGCATTTAGAGTTCTATTTCTCCGTAAACTTTACCCTTTTCTTAGCCTTAAATTTGTTTATAGTTTTATTTTATGCGGATTTGTCAAATCAATTAATTATGATAATACCCGCATTATAACACCCCGTGTACAAATAGAAATTTTCTATTTAAAAATAATCCATATACAAGGATTATGGATATAATGAACGCATCTGAATTGATTTTAGAGCAATTACTTTATAACATACTGTAGGTCTATATCAACTATTTCTGCATTTTTGCTTCAAAGATCTTTTTAGTATGCTAATTTTAGCTCCATCTTATGTATTAAGGTGATTCAAACTTGGATTATTTCGAAAATTAGAAAATATAAATATTTATGTTTTGAAAAGCCGAAACCAGAAAATGAAATTGAGAGGTTTTTTTTGATGAAATATTATCATACTAAAAAAAAAATTTTTTTCCCATTTCGAAAGAAATATATCACTAATTTAATTCGAAATCAAAAATATCAGTAATTATTAATCACTCTATTGGTCCCAATTACATTCCCGTTTTCATTTTTAATATTAAAGTACAAATTAAGTTGATTTATAGAAATCCAGTTAAACCCTCGTAAATAAGCTTCTTTTGAAACCATAGTAAATATATATATATATGTTAAAAAATATATACATTCAGAGAGGTTGTATTTATAGAGATAGAATTCCTATGAGATAGGACCAAGTTAGATCGTATAATTAGGCATTTACATAGAATGTGAGCTTATAAGGCGTACGTTTATAAAGTGTATATTTATGGATGTCAAGTCATATATTATCAATTAATTCTTTCGTCTTTATGATTAAACTATTATAACTAATAATATAATGGCAAATAAAGCTATCCTCTTTATTAATATTTATTTATAAATTATTTTCTGGATAGGAAATTGGTATATTTTAAGATTTAAAATTTACAAGACTTTTTTATGAATCTGAAATATTTCATACTCCTCTACTGAAAAAAATGAACGGTAATTAGTAGGGTGAAATGGTATTCTTCTAATTAGATTTACATAATACATATCTCTGGTATTATGGTAGCAATAACATTGCATATCTGTGTTAAAATTTCCGATCATACTAAGACCCCTACTAAAACATGGACCACAACCATAATGTGAGTAAATTGCAACCTCATTTGGATCTTTTACACGGCTTAAAATGGAATTTTGAATAGAACGATTTTTTAACGAAAAAATGAAGCTATTCTCACATTTTATGTGGTCTGCAATAGATTTATCCCATCCAATAGGATTATATCCACCAAGAATTTCATCAGTCCCTTTAACCTTCATAACTACGACAATATTTGTTTTCTTATCACATAATTTCCAAAATGAATCTTTAGAGAAACCATCCCTAGTTCCGCGAAGAAGCAATTTAAATTCATAAGGATTATGTGATATAGAATATGTAACTACTTTTTTATCAATCCATGAAGCAATTTCAGCCGCATGTGTTTCATTAATAACTTTTGAAAATGGCTCAGTTGTTCTTGTTGGTAATGTTTGTGTCAAGACAATACGAGAAGGAAGAATAGTTGATGATACAGGTTTATTTGGATAAATAATTCGCTTTTTTATATCTTTCCAAAGAGTTTTTTCAAGAATTTGTTTATATGGATACACATAATCATAAATGTCATCTCCTGATATTTGAAAATATCTAATAAAAGGCAAGCAGTTCTGTAAGGTAGTCTTTAAAGTTAAAAAGTTATTCTTAGTCCAATCTTTAGAATCGGATGATAAGTCAGCATTTTGGGCAATTCCCCATTCAATAACATAATTCCAAATCTTTATTTCATCCATTTGCAAGTCATCACGTTTGATGAGTGATATTAATGCGTTTTCATTAAGTGAAGTAAAATTATCAGAATCAAAAATTTTATCTGGATATTTTACTGCGATATTATTGCACCATTTTTGTAATTCTTGAAGTGTATCAATTTTAAAACTTTCTTGATAAACATAGGCAAAATGTAAACGAAGCCAATGAGCATGGTTTTCAATTAAATATACCTCAATATATTCAACCAATTCTTCGAGAAAAAACTCATAAGCAATTATCATGAGTTCAAAAATAAATGACACATCAAGATTTTCTAACAAAACTATACCTCCATATATATACCTTTATAATAAATTAATAATGTTAATAATTTAAAATATATACCGCACATTATACATTAAATCAGTCAATAACTTACTTAATAATATTATTAAATTGCCGAACAGATAAATTATTTAAATTAATCGTTTTAATATTGTTCATATCCTTATCAATTTTCGCTAATTTATTGCGAAAGTATAAAGAGCGACATCTTAAAATAGAAGAATGAGCCTTAAATGTTGTTATGTCTGGAAAATTTCCAGCGTTAATAATTACGTTGAAGTCTTCATCATCGTTAAGAAGCTCAATATAATCGTTTGAAAGTTTTTTAATAATTTTTGTTGTCATCCTATAAAATTTCAAATTAAAAATAAAACAGCAACTATAGGAAATATTTAATTGTAAATGACGTATATACGTACTTAAACGTAGGGAAGTTGTTTGTAGTGATTTTGACAGATTTTAGTGATATTTCTATCGGAACATAGTTGAAATGTTGTATATGGTTCAATTCGAGTTTTTTACAAATTTTGATTTTGATTGAATTTAGTAATCGAATGATTTCATGACACAAGCCATCGAATGATTCCAGATAGAAGCAATCGAATGATTTCCAGACACAAGTAATCGAATGATTGTCTTCCACATTCCCTTTTAAAGATAATTCTTAGTGATAACGATAATTACCAAGTCACTTAATTTATTTTAGTCATTCTGTGATGTTATATTTATGTTATGATTATTCAGGTCATGATTATTTAGTCACATAATTATTAAATTTAAATTATAGTGAGCTCCGAAATCGGTCACGGTATCACGTGACCGATCGTCAAAATTAGGTCCCGTCGCCTACCCGAGTAACTGGTCACATGAAAAGTAAGAGAAATCTTACTTTTCTTACTTTTATTACTTTGGTTACTTCGGGTAGAACGACGGTATATGAGGCATTCGGTTTTTAGTTATTATAGTGGGGAAAGGGGTTTTAAGGATGAAATATTGTAAACAGATAATATAGAGGAAATTATCCTCGAATGTAAATAAAAGTTTTATTATAAATAAAGGGCTTTCCGCCCAGGGGGAAAGTAACAAGCGGTACCCCCAAGTAAATACATTTGCTTAAATAAACTTACAGTATCGGATCCATATTGAAAATAAACTATAATCCCACCCAAACTAAAACTATCGTTAAAACTATTGTAATCAACTATCGTTCGCCCATTATTAAACCATTAAAACCGCATTTTTGTTCGTTCGCCGCAAGTCACGTGACCACGCCGTTAAACGAAGAAAAGGACTCCAACCCCGATTCGACGTATCGTAACCCCAGGTTAAGGAAGTAGAAAGAAGATAAGAGGAAGCAGAGGTTAATAGAAGAATAGGTTGAAGGAAAGACTTAGAAGAGAAAAGTAGTTCTTACCTACGGATAAGCCACCCAGCCAAATCTAACACGCCTATTTCGCCTTAGCCGCCGTAGGTTACACGAGGATTGGAAAGAATAGCGACAGACTCGCCGAATTGTCGCGCAACAATAGCATATTTAAAACTAACTGATTAGTCATCTAATTTCTGAGTGATAAACAACTCGCGATTAAGTCATTTAAATCACTATGACAACAAAGGTAGGTGCCATTAACGATAAGTAGAGTTTGTATGTATTGGATTTTTTACTGACTTTTTAATAATTTCGGAATTTTCAGAAAACTCTCTTTCCAAATATATTAGTGTTTTAATTTGCACCGTAGTAAAGCAACGGATTATATAAGTACACTTTTTGAGCGAAAAATATAAAGTTTTTATGTCTTGTTTTTTTTTAATCGATAGCTTTTATTTTCCTTTTTTCAAGAATGACCTCTTTGTTACATATTTAAATAGTTTTATGTTTGTCAATTTAGTTAAAACTGATTTATTTATATTGCTAAATAATTTACTAGATATAAAAGGTTAAATCCTCTATTACATTAAATTAGACAAGGTGCACTATCTTTTACAAAAGATAAATTGGTAATTATTATACAAGTTTTAAAAAATGCTGCATCGAAAGTTATTATTCGCAGTAATTTTGGATTTTCATAAAAATTATTTATTATATGAGACCTTAAATAATGCTTGATTTAGTTTGATGACCACCTTAACTGTATGTGTTATGTGTCATTTCTCAATTTACGTCAATTATTAATTGACGCTTGTCATTTTTCAATTTCCACCGATTGATAAATGAACCAGGTCAATTCTTAATTCAGATCATATTATAATCAACGATAGCTTATTAATGATGCCAATAATAATAAATAAATGAATATTGAAAAATAATCTTTTATTTTTTTTCTACTAATGAATCCACAAAGTTATTCTTTTCTGACCCGTGAGACCATTAAATAAATATTGGAAACGTACACAAACGAAGTTTGATGGATAGAGAACGCTACAATGAATGTCTTAATATATTAAAAAATCCCGCCAAGCAAAATATTACATGTCCAATTCATAACATTCAGGAACGTCAAACTCATAATGTT